CCCCCCTTTGAATTTTTTCTTTTTAAAATATTTTCCAAATTATGTTTCACAGAGCAAGGAAATTTTTAAAGTATGTCTGATAATATTTTTTCTTCTGGAGAATGTCTTATTTGTTTTATTTTGGCTAGAATAATAGCAGTTTCAAATTGTTAAAAAGCCACTTTAAGGTCAAAATTATTAGCCCCTTTAAGCAATTTTTTTCCTGATAGTCTACAGAACAAACCATCGTTGTACAGCAACTTGCCTAATTACTCTAACCTGCCTAGTTGACCTAATTAAGCCTTTAAATGTCACTTTAAGCTGAATACTAGTGTCTTAAAATATCTAGTCAAATAATATTTACTGTCATCATGGCAAAGATAAAATAAATCAGTTATTAGAAATGAGTTAAGAAAAAACTATTGTGTGATAAAACTATTATGTTTAGAAATGCGTTAAAAAATCTTCTCTATATTAAACAGAATGTGAGGAAAAATAGGGGGGCTAATAATTCTTCAACTGTACATAACATGCCAGTTTTACCTGTTTTGCTTTAACTTATTATCTAAATAAATAAATAAATAAATAAATAAATAAATAAATAAATAAATAAATGAAAAATACAGATATCTTCTACACAAAAATTTCAGGAAAGTGACATTTAAAAAATAGAAAAAACTAAATGGAAAGAAGGTTTTGATTCAGCTGTGTCAAATGTTTGCTGTTACAGCTTCTTCCCGAACTGTGCTGCTCATGTTCTTGTGTTTATGTAACTCATTCAGGTCAGTGAGTCGACTTCTTGTCATGCATGTATAAATGGGATGATGGCGAATACAGCCAATCCTCTACATTGCAAGTAAACGCCACTAAATTAAGAGAAAATCTAAAATAGGTTAGGGGTTAATGGATACTGTATTCCAGCTAAATGCACAACATGAAAGTACAATATGGCTGCAAAAAAAACACACAGGTTTTAAAGCTTTAGAGGAAAATCCACCTCTACAACTTTCACTCTTTTATCATACATAGATATTAATTTAGATACAGTAGATAGCGCTAGGAAAAGTGATATATTACAATATTAAGTTACTAAATAATATAAATGAATGTAAAAAATACGTGTTGTTATATTTGAACTTTATATTTTTGTTTATTTTACTTAATAAAAAAACCTTTAATACATTGCTAGACTATAATATCTCTAAATGCAATGGAGTTGTAGAAAATCTCTGTGACATGCTCACTGAATCTCTGCCCACTGTTACTTGAACCTCTCTGATGCATGCATTAAAGGCCTACCACATGGTTCACAGTAGAGATCTGCGCGGGACTAAATTTTGAATCCCGCTCCCGCCCACACCCGCCAGGTTTTAGCCCGAACCTGACCGCTCCCGCTTATATTAAGAATTTATTGTCCCGCTGCCCGACCCGCCCCGTTTTCTGCCCGCCGCGCCCGATCCTGCTAAAGAGCGGGGGAAAACAAAACCGAAAATCCCTCAGCTATACAGTCCAGACAGCCAAGCCAAGCTGTCTGTATAAACACACACACACACACAGCACCAAGCACACACACACAGACAAATCTCTCTCTCTCATACGCGCGCGAGCCCTAACACACACACAAGCACCAAGCAGACACAAAGGCGTTTGCTGTTATATCAACTCAAAGGCTTGTAATACCATGTATCAAGTACCAATGCAATACCAAAAGGTTTTATATAAAGGTATCTAAATACTGAGTCGCGCCAGCTCCGGGCTCGCTTACGGCCGCCGCATCTGGCCCGATTGATTCGGGCCGGAATCGGGCAGTGAGTCCACAAGCATCCGGAGTCTGGCAGCTGGAGCCGGGCTGAGTGGTAAGTCTCTGGCAGGCGAGAATCTAGCCGGAACTTGCCCGAGTGTATTTTACTATCTGGGAAAGCTCTCTCTCTCTCTCATTCGCGCGCGCACTAACATACACAAGCACCAAGCACACACACATGCAAAGTTCGCTCTCTCTCTCATTCGCATAGCAATATCCGCGATATTGCTAGACAGCCCGCTCCCATCCTAAATTAAACCTGTTACCGACCACTCCCGCAATTTAATCGGAAATTTATTCCCGCGCCGCAGAAATCTGGTCGGGTCCTGCGGCGCCCGCGGGACAGCCGCGGGAATGCAGACCTCTAGTTCACGGCTGCACCTTATCATCTCTAATTATCAGCGTGACTTCAGAGTATGGAATAAAATCATTGACTACGTTTACATGGACATCAGTAATCGAATGATTTGCTTTAATCTAATTAAGAGAATAATAAGACTAAGATGTTTACATGAGTTGCTTTTTAAATGTTTCTTTCATGATCCCGGTTTACATGTTATAGCACATGATTCAATTAACGTCATTGCGTCACCGAGCTATCCGCATTTCCTCCGGTGTTTTATGCAATTTCGGGTGTTTCATTTGTAATTTGTGGACTTTCAACTGCAGTTTGCCACTTTCACTTTCATTCACGAACATTTCATGCACGCTGTCTGTGACAAACGAGATATTAAATGCAACTATGAACTGCTGGAAGAGTGTTGTTTTAATAAAAGATCACACCGCATGGTGAATGGAAGAAAAAAAACCTCTGTATTTTATCTATCCTGTCGCAAAACGCGGCGAAAAGCCCTACATGACGGTAATAGTTCGATTAAGGCGTTTACATGTCTGTACTGCACTTCAATAATGCGATTAAAATCGGCACACTCCACATATCTTAATTTGATTTCTCTTTAGTTCGATTATGACCTTAATCTGATTAAATTAATCAAAAATCGCTGTTTACATGGTTAACTCTTAATCAGAGTTTTGTCTTAATCGCAACCCGGCCTCATTGTGGAAACGTAGCCCCGCGGACGTTTCTGCGGGCCGCGAGATACGTCCCGGTAGGTATGTATTCGAGCGGTTTTTGTTTTCGCGGATCCGCGAGAGGCCGCTGTGCGCGTTTTTCCGCGTCTCGGGCACCTCTCGGGAGCGCGCGCCGTTCGCGCCCGTGCCGTTCTCACGCGAAAAGCCGCCGGATCTGCCGACTCAGCCGTCCTCCTCTTCCTCTTCCTCCTCCTCCTCCTTCCCTAAACCCGAGCGACGGTTCGCAAAAGCCCTTGTCTTTGATTTCGACCGCGTTTTCGGATCCCTCCGCGTTCTCGCCCTTATTTTTCGGATTCCGTTTTTCGTCTTACCTGATTTCCGGAATCGCTGTTCCCCGGACTCGATCCCGGCTTCTGCTCCGCCGACGCAACGCTGTGAGCTAAGCGGACAAACTGGTTGCATCGGGAAAGCCCTCCACTTGGAGGCGAGCCGTCGGCCAGCGAGCGCGAAAAGGAGGAGCTTAGCAGAGCGGCGCCACACCGCCCCGCAGCGTTCGCTTGAAAAAAAAAAACTAAACGCGTCCGTACATACCTACGGCCACGTAAATCTTTCTCCAGAAACGTCGGCGGGGCTACGTTTCCAAAATAAGCTTGGGTTGCTTAATCGCATTAAAATTGAATTATTGGTGTGCATGTAAACGTAGTCAGAGTCATAAATATTTCGTGCGGAAATAAAATTCGCGCATCTGTCATGAAAAAGCATTGAAGGAAAACGGAACGTACTCGTAATTTTACGAGAGTACAATTCTAAAATCTGCAATTAGAACAGACAAAGATACAACATTTTCTTTGTCTGTTTGTAAATAACTGATGAATTTATGATTGCCACATAACCAGCGATCGCTCTCCAGAGATCGCTGGTTCTCACATGAACACTAAGGACTACACTTCCGCCTTCCCTTGGACTACATATTCAAACATGCTCTCCGGTTACACTCACACATGCTCACTCATCAGGATTGATTACATTCTCACCAGCTGAGCCTTGTCAGAGACTGACACACCCTACATAAACCACTCATTTACCCTTCCAGTTTGCAGAGTCTTGTTAGCTGTATCAGTGACATTACAACGCGTTTCTCCCTGTCTTGTTTCCCGTGTTAGACCCTTACCTTGTTTACCTTTGTTCTCCTGTTTAGCCGTCTGCCTTTTGACCTGTTGCCTGTTTATACGACTACGATTCTGGACTGCCTGAATATACCCGTTTGCACCTGTTTGATCATTGCTTGCCTGACGCTGAATAAACCTGCATTGTGGATCTTACCTCCAGTTGTCTCTGTCACTCCCCCCCCCCCCCCCCCATCCAAGTTTAAATGTAAGAATGTTCTAAACAAATAGGGCTTAGGGGGGATAACTGAGAATAGAACACAGCCAGGAACACTGTTTCTAACTACAGCTCCAGAGGTGTAGTTGCAAGTTTGCGAATGTTTGTTAGAACGATGGATTTGGACAAATCAAGGAACAATGCTTTTAATAACAGAACTTGCGACTTTAGCTGGCTAACGATGGTAGACGTCTCACGTCAGCATGTTCTAACAATTTTACCAGTATTTTTAAAAAGGGTCTGTTCACACATGATCCCTTTAATGTGTTAAAGTGGGCTACTCTCAAATCTTTATGTACTTCTGTAAAGGAGGCAGGATATAATGCAATAACCGTTTTATCTCGAATAATGGAAAAAACAACTAAGTGATGACAACTTCTTAATTGAAATGGAACCTTCCAAGTGACAAGTTTGAACTAATTCCTGACACAAGAAGCACCGTCATTAAGGGTCAGCCATACAAAGGGCACACATGAGACTTCACTAACATTCACAGCTGATACCAACAAGAGTGTGAAGTTAACACCTTAAGACGATGACTCAAAACATCAATGGATGAAGCAAATACTATTCATTGGATGCGATTTTCAGCATTAAAGGAGACTTTTATTTTCAGAATTGCTTTGACATTGTTTGTTTTTTTTTGTTGTTGGTTTAATACTTCACATAATGAAAAAGATCTCAAAGTGTTTGTGTGTGTGTGTGAAGTTCTGATGAAAGCACATTAAACAAGTCCAAATAGCCATAGGATTGAGTGCTTTACTCTAATTTGAAAATAATAACAAATAATCATAAAAATTCTTACCTCCATGTACAAAGCCATGCAGGGTGCAGTCAGACGGGCCGACGAGGTGAATCAGACTCGACTGACTACAAACAACAGTGAAGGGCTCTATGGAAAAAAAAAAAGGATAAGAGAAAAAAATATTTATAAAATGCATGCAAATACACTTTACTATACAGTGTAAATGCGTTTAAATGAATAAAATTCAATTAAACGACTTATTAGCCGGCACATGAAAAATATAAAAAAAAAAAAAAAAATATATATATATATATATATATATATATATATATATATATATATATATATATATATATATATATATATATATATATATATATATATATATATATATATATATATATATATATATATATATATATATATATATATGTATGTATTATGTGTATGTATTAAATATATGTATTAAAAACAAATTACGTTAATAGTTTTTCAGAGGAGTTTTTTATAATTATGTTAATAGCTTTTTGCACACATACAAAAGTACTTTACAGAAGTGTAAGTACACTCAAATTAATCAAAATTCAATTACACGTCTCATTGCACATGAAAAATATTTTAAAAATAAAAAAAGAATTTAAATTAAATGTTGAAAAACATATTTAAAAAAAAATTTATGTTACATTAAAAGTTTTTGGGGAAATTTTTGGGAGTTTTTTGTTATGTTAATAGTTATTTACACACATACAAAAACGCTTTACTATACAGAAGTGTAAGTACGCTTAAATTAATCAAATTTAATTAAACGTCTTATTAACCAGAACATGAAAAATATTTAAAAACAAAATAAAATAAAATGTTAAAAAAATAATAATAGTTATTAAAAGTGTATAAGTTTTTTGGGGGGAATTTTTGGGAGTTTTTTTTATCACATTAATAGCTTTTTCCATGCATACAAACATACTTTACAATACAGAAGTGTAAATGCGCTCAAAATTATCAATAGTTAAACATCTTATTACCCGTTACATGAAAAAAAAATTTGAATAAAAATTAAATAAAAAATAAAATGTAAAAAAAATTTAAGTTATGTAAAGTTTTTTGGAAGATTTTTTGAGAGTTGTTTTAATTATGTTAATAGTTTTTTACACACATTTACTATACGGAAGTGTAAATACGCTTAAATTAAACGTCTCAATACCTGAAACATGAAAAATATAAAAAAATAAATAATAATAAAATAAAATGTTTAGAAATAAACAAAAAAATAAAAATTGCTTAAAAAATTTTGGGGGGGAATTTTTTTGGAGTTTTTGTGTTATTATATTAATAGCTTTTTACATGCATACAAAAATACTTTACTATATAGAAGTGTAAATACACTCAAATTAATCAAATTTAATTAAACATCTTATTACCTGGAACATGAAAAATATGAAAGAAATCAAAATAAAATTCAAAATAAAATGTAAAAAAATCTATTAAAACAATTGTAAATTACGTTAAGTTTTCTAAAATATTTTTTAAGAGTTTCTTTAATTACGTTAATAACTTTTTAAACACATTTACTATACTGAAGAGTAAATACGCTCAAGTTAATCAAATTCAATTAAACGTCATTACCTGGAACATGAAAAATATTAAAAAACAAAAATAAAATAAAATGCTAAAAAAATATATATTAAAAGTTTTTTATTTTTTATTTTAATTAAAATTACGTTAGTCTTTTGGGGAAAAAAGCATATACATACCTTTGGTCTGTCTATCTGTGCAGCATCAGAGCAAAATAACATTAAATCAAGGTGAGACAGTATGTCCAACAATCACACAAAATATTACAAATGTCCGAGGAACCACAATGTTTGCTGGACATGTACTACAGTAATAGCATGTAGCATTTTAAGTACTTTGAAATGCCAATTGAAAAGTTAGTTCATCAAAAAAATAAAAAAAAATTACTCACTATTTACTCACCCTCAAGTGCTTTCAAACATTAATGATACTCTTTATTCTGTTGAACCCAAAAGAATACATTTTGAAGAAAGCTGAAAACCTGTAACCATTGACTTCCATTGCATTTGTTTTTTCTACTATGGAAGTCAATGGTTACAGGTTTCAACATTCTTCAAAGTATCTTCTTTTGTGTTCAACAAAATAAAGAAATTAAAACGGGTTTGGATCAAGTGAAGGGTGAGTAAATGATAATGGAATTGTCAGATTTGGTGGAAGTATCCCTTTAATTACAACGCTAAAAGTCTATGCTAATGATTCAGTACAAATTACTAAGGCACTGCTGCGATGCTTTTCAGCTGTGAAATGACCCTGACTGCTTGTGATCACTGACATATCAAACGCATGTGTTCAATGAGAATAAGGATGAGTAATGACATGAAGGAGTAACTGTTACCTGGAAGAGAGACAGACATGATGATCTCACCGTTCCTCACTTTGTCCTCTAATCGCTCTAATTTCTGAGCCTCGTATCTCTTTTTACCTGCTTCCTCCCGTTCCGGGCTGGAGTACTGCAGATTTAAAAAGCACGTCACATTAATACATAATTCATTTGTAAAATATAAATGGTCAAAATGATTTAATGAACCACTCTATATTTGATTGATCACACTATTAAAGCTGTATCACACATCCTTGGACAGTGACATATTGAATTAAACAGAATCAACATCAAACTAACTTGAACAAACCTGCATTCTGTGGAACTGAATTTGTTTCACAGTGATGATACTTTCTGTAAAGCTTTTTCTGTGAAGCTACTTTGACCCACTTCGTATTGTATAATGTCCTACAAAAATTGGAAAATGGCATGACTCAGAGTAACTGAATCACTTTCAGAATAATTCAATCTAAATTCAGTACCTCTTAAGACCTTTTTGAAGACTTTCCATACATTTTAAGACTTCATGGACACTTTAGGTTTCAACATGTAACATTGGCAACTTTTTAATGTATATACCCTCAACGGCCACTTTATTAGGTACACCTGATCAACTGCTTATTAACGCAAATTTCTAATCAGCCAATCGCCTGGCAGAAACTCAATGCATTTAGTCATGTAGACATGGTCAAGATAATCTGCTGCAGTTCAAACCGAGCATCAGATTAGGGAAGAAATTGGATTAAAGTGACTTTGATCATGGCATGGTTGTTGGTGCCAGATGGGCTGGTTTGAGTATTTCAGAAACTGCTGATCTACTGCGATTTTCACGCACAACCATCACTAGGGATTACAGGGAATGGTCTGAAAAAGAGAAAATATCCAGTGAGCGGCAGCTCTGTGGGCACAAATGCATTGTTGATGCAAAAGGTCAGGGGAGAATGTCCAGACTGGTTCCAGCTGATAGAAAGGCAACAGTTACTCAAATAACCACTCGTTACAACCGAGGTCTGCAGAAGAGCATCTCTGAATGCACAACACGTCCAACCTCTGGGCAGACCACATCAGGTGCCACTCTGGTCAGCTAAAAACAAGAAACTGAGGCTACAATTCACACAGGCTCTCCATAATTGGACAATAGGAGATTGGAAAACGTTGCCTGGTCTGATGAGTCTCAATTTCTGATGCAACGTTCGGATGGTAAGGTCAGAATTTAGCGTCAACAACATGAAAGCATGAATCCATCCTTCCTTGAATCAGCAGTTTAGGCTAGTGGTGGTGGTGTGATGTGTGGGGGATATTTCTTGGCACACTTTGGGGTCATCAGTCAATGCCACAGCCTACCCGAGCATTATTGCTGACCATGTTCATACCTTTATGACTACGGTTTACCCATCTTCTGAGGGCTACTTCCAGCAGAATAACGCTCCATGTCATAAAGCGTGAATCATCAAGGTTTTTTGAACATGACAATGAGTTCACTGTACTCAAATGGCCTCCACAGTCACCAGATCTCAATCCAATAGAGCACCTTTGGGATGTGGTGGAATGGGAGATTCGCATCATGGATGTGCAGCTGACAAATCTGCAGGAACTACGTGATGCTATCATGTCAATACAAATCAAAATCTCTGAAAAATATTTCCAGTACCTTGTTGAATCTATGCCATGGAAGATTAAGGCAGTTCTGAAGGCAAAAGGGGGTCCAACCTGGTACTAGTAAGGTATACCTAATAAAGTGGCCGGTGAGTGTATAAGTTACCTTAATTTAGTATATTTACTAAATACTGATTGTGACTCATCATAATAACTCATTATTGATACAATTTAATTCAATAGGGAGGAATTGAAGTACAATACAATTATTTACCAGCCCACACCAACGAAGTTTATTAAGAAATAGAAAACAATAATTAGTGAAAAACTAGTAAAAAAGTATAATAATGTGGGGCTTTAGCAACCTATCTGACCTTTATATTAGAGATGCACAAACTAGGGCCCAAAGTCAAGTGGTGCTCACTGCAGAGCCATTTGGGCAGAGCTGAGCTTCAGTGAGGGGGAGCTTGAGCTCTCGCTCCTCCTTTCTTGCACTTCTTCTACGAGTGATGTCACTGGGGGTAGGGTTAGGGGTGGGGTTGGTGTACGCATTAAAGCAGCTTATAGGAGGAGGAGCGAGAGCACATGCTCCCCCTCGCTAGAGCTCAGCTCTGCTCAAATGGCTCTGCAGTGAGCACCATCTCCCCAAAGTTGGTCCATGATAACCTTTGATTTGGCCCACCATCCCATAAGGAAAATGATGAGTAAGGGTTGGAGAATGCCTTTAATACAGATATTAACTTCTTATTTTCTAGTGTGTTTAGCATCAAACTCCGTTGAGTGCTAAATGAAATTGTTTGTTTTTATTCTATTGTGTTCCTTATAAAATGTGAATAAAAAAGCATTAGTTAAAACAATAAAAGTAATGTTTTCCATTTATTTATTTTTATTATTTAAAAAATTAGGAAATTACCCATGGCGACATTGATGTAATACAGTTTGTTATATTTAACTCCAGCCCACAGCTTTCAATCAGGTTTAATCAATAAAGGCACATTAATCAATAAAGACACTTATGCACATATCTTGATTTTTCATGGCAGATTGTAATTTTTTAAAAGGCACATTGGCAGATATCATATTTTTGAGTTTAGAATTTTGGAAGCCAGAAAATATTATGAGTATGTGACTAAATATTTTATCTTCTCTATCACAGGCTAAATTCTCTGAACTAAAGGACATAGGCAAAAATTACGCTTCATCATGACCCAAACAGAGATTCAACATACATTAGTGTGGGCAGTTAGTGATTTAAAAATGATTGATTAATTTAAAATTAAGACTTGTTATTGTGAAATTATGATACAAAAAACTTACTAAACTAAAACAGCAGTTGTATTGAGTAAAAACGCTAATTCACTCTATACAACAGCAAGAATAACAGTGTTTCCCTGGTAAGTGCTCTAAACAAAGCAGCAAGATATAAAATGTAGCAGGATTTTATAAACTTCACAGCATCCCGATATTCCAACGCAATCTCACGACAATTCATAACTTTTTGATTTAGTGGCTAATTCGTATGAATTTGTACGATCTCATTCGTACTATTTAGTACGATTTTCTCATCACCCAATGACGGTTGGAGTTAGGGGTGGGGTTAGGTGCCACGCCTCCTTTTTAAAATTGAATTCATATGAATTAGCCACTAAACTGACAAAACGTAGAATACTTATGTGTCCTCATGAGATCAGGCTGGATTTTTACAGATTAAATTCAGGCAAACAAACTAAAAACCTTTTAAGGGCCTTCAATTTCTCTAAATTGTGTTATTATCAACCTTTAATAATTTATAAGACCCCATAAATTAGTAAAAGTTTGATGCAAAGTACTAGAGGAAATTAGAAACTACTTGTGAATGTGAAAATTAAAGATGATAGATAGATAGATGGATGGATGGATGGATGGATGGATGGATGGATGGATGGATGGATGGATGGATGGATGGATGGATGGATGGATGGATGGATGGATGGATGGATGGATGGATGGATGGATGGATGGATGGATGGATGGATAGATGGATAGATAGATAGATAGATAGATAGATAGATAGATAGATAGATAGATAGATAGATAGATAGATAGATAGATAGATAGATAGATAGATAGATAGATAGATAGATATGTATGTATTAATTGATGTATAGTCTCTTACCTCAATAGGAGGAACTTCAATGATTTTGTCCACATTTTGAAGAGAAATTGGAACATACCATAGCGTTGCCTTGTTGGTCACTTTTTTGGCACCTACAAAAAAACACAACACTGATTTCAGCATAAAGCAGATACAAATCGTGTATGTAAGTACACTGTAAAAAATGCAACACAAATCAATTAAGTTAACTTAATTATTGTTGCAAATTTAAGTTGATTGAACATAAAACAAGCCACTATGACTGTGGATACACTATACCTACAAACAGTTCTGTCCAAACAGCTTACAAAAGATGATTTTCATCAGAGCTGCCCTTTTAACGGTGGGCTAACTGGTGAATCCGCTTCTTAAGTGATGACGTGTTTGTGACGTATGTAATACTGTTTCCGGGTCCAAGCCGCCACTCATTTGAGTGGAGAAATCATTCGTTTATGATCACGTTTTATTCATATCACACATTAAAGTTAATTTTATATAAAATCATAGTGTACACAACAATCTCTGGGCTTGCTGCATAACAAATACCAAAATTTTAACAATTTATAAAAAATTAATCACTTTCTGGCCATCGGATATTAGGCATAGACATATATATTGCGAACGTGATTTTTGAAAGTATTAAATCGCTTTGTAAACGTTTAGTATTACTATATCATGTAAACGTTTATTATTACCATTTCATGAGTCTCCCCATTCAGTTGAATAGAGTGCTTGGACCCGGAAGCCGCTTCGCGTGACGTCACACTTAACAAGCGGATAACATCATTCCATATACTTACCAACACTTTTGCCAATTGGCAAGTGTTAATTTAGTCCATGTACACAATAAAAAGGCTATAATGATATCACTGCCACTTCACAAACATCTTCATATCTCAAGGGTCCCAACATATGACATCTATTAATAAATAAACAAGTTAAATGTCTGAAAATACTATATTTCCAGTGAACTCTTAAGAGAGTGACATGCTGCCACCAAGTTTCTGGTGTTGTCATGGAGACTTCAGCATCTCATAGTGAAGCTGGTTTGCTCTCTAAAGAGCAAGTGAGGCTATTTTGGGTAGGCTGTGTTTATTAGACACAAGAGAGATTTAAGAGAGGAAAACTATGCGCTTGAGCGGATAAGTACACAATTAAGGCCATCATAGAGAACAGCAAACCTTGAATTAATGAAACTATCAATGAGCGTGATAATGACACACCGAACAGAAAGGACATTCTGGACTTAATTTGCATTCAAAAATAAAAATTTTGGGAGATGCAAATGTTTCAAGAGTAATCCTCACATAAAAGTAATTATTTTGACTGCAGTTTAATATTTTCTGCATCTACAGTGAGATGGGATAGTTCCCTCACAAATGAAAATTGACATCATTTACTGAGTTTCTCTCTGTTGTTGAACACGAGGCAAGGCAAGGCAGACTTCATTTATAGAGCACAATTTTACACAATCATAGCTGATCCAAAGTGCTTTACAAAAAAATAATAAAAATAATTAATAAATAAATTAAAAAACTAAACTAAATAATAACTGGTATTTAAAAATATAAGAAAAGGAAAATATATGCAAATAAGTGATACTACAGATACGAAATAACATGCAGGTGTCACTTAAAGGCAAGAAAGTAAATTTAAGTCTTAAAATTAGATTTAAAAGCATCCAATGAAGGCAAAATCCTGATGTTCAGAGAGAGATTTTTCCAGAGCCTTGGGGCCGCAACACAGAAAGCTCGATTACCTTTTGATTTGTAGCCCGAGGGACAGACAAAAGAAACTGGTCATGGGATCTTAAGGGTCTACAACTTGTATATGACCTAATAAGTTCGCTGACATAGGCCTGGGCAGAATTGTGCACTGCTTTATAAGTGAAAAGAAGGACTTTAAAATCAACTCTAAATTTTATAGGAAGCCAGTGCAATGAGGTAAGGACAGGAGAGATATGATCTCTTTTCTTAGTTCCTGTTATTAATCTAGCAGCTGCATTCTCGACCAACTGTAACCAAAAGAAGATATTTTGAAGAAAGCTAGAAAGCTGTAACCATTGATTTCCACATTATTTGTTTTTCCTACTATGGAAGTCAATGGTTACAGGTTTTCATTCATTTTCTTTCCGGCTTAGTCCCTTTATTAATCCAGGGTCGCCAAAGTAGAATGAACCGCCAACTTATCTAGAATATGTTTAAGCAGCGGATGCCCTTCCAGCCGCAACCCCTCTTAGGGAAACATCAATACACACTCATACACTACGGACAATTTAACTTACCCAATTCACCTGTACCGCATGTCTTTGGACTTGTGGGGGAAACCGGAGCACCCGGAGGAAACCCACGCGAAAGCAGAGAGAACATGCTGTACTATACACAGAAACACCAACTGACCCAACCGAGGCTTGAACCAGTGACCTTCTTGCTGTGAGGCGACAGCACAACCTACTGTGACACTGTCACCTACAGGTTTTCATATTTTTTCAAAGTAATTTATTCTGTGTTCAACTGAAAAAAAGAAATTGAGGGTGGGTAATAATGACTAAATGTTCATTTTTGGGCAAACTATTCATTTATTTTACAGTAACAGTGCAAATCAATAGAGGCTCCCACACATTTTGTTTAATTAAAAGTGTTTTTAAATGAATTTCATATAGCATATAAAAATAGCAATTTATATATGTCTAATATTTTACTTAAAAATTACCAAAAAAAATTATAAAACCACGCAAGAGCAGATACTGACCTTTAATTTATTTTCGGTTTAGTCCCTTTATTATTCTGGGGTTTGCCACAGCGGAATGAACCGCCAACTTATTCAGTTAAAACATGTTAAAAACAGCTAATAATATAGTGGCCACAAGATGGCGACAGAGACCAAATAATACGTCTACAAGGGAGAAAAATTCCAAACTACAGCTGAACAAATCATTATAGAACAGGTAAGTGACATTCTTAGTCGATCTCTCTATTTTGTATATTGAAGTGTTGTATTTATACCATAGTAAACTGGTAGTGTTTGCTTTGCTTTGGCTTTTTCGGGGTTAAATATTGTAATATCCCAATTGCAACAGAGAAATACTGGGAAATGTCTGTACACTTAAAATCTTAAGATGTCAGCAAAATCACCAGTTTTGTCATCAGTTTAGACATTACGCTAGAGAATCATTCAAATACTACCTCTAAAGTGGTGTAGGTAAATTAGCAATGGTTTCAGCTGCAGATGTGAATTAATGGCGAAAGAAAGTAGTAAAAGGATTTTTGAGACTCTCCATGTTTGATTTTTTTATACACACGATGTTATTGTGCTGCGTTAACGCGAGACTCTTATAGGGTGATAAAAAAAATATCGCTGTTAATCTATTCTCAAAGTTGTGTTGGGAGCTTGGTGTATTCTATGCAAGCTATGATGACTTTCACCTTAATATTTTAGCGCGGATGCATACCTGGGCGAATTGCGGAGTAACGCCCCATTCACACGGGGCTTCAGCGTCAACGCTTGACAGAGGGCGTGTCTGAATTTGGGGTTGAAGCGATCGTCATAGCAGTGTCAGCCAATAAAATTAGTCTTCAATAGGCCACAGTCTGAGCTGGTGTATTTGCATACAGCAATCTGATTGGCTGACGCTTCCATCTGTGCTTGAAAAGTTGAGCTTCCCAACTTCTGCAACGAGCAACGCCTCTGAAGCAGCACCGACGGATCCACAATGCAGTTCAAAGTGAATGGGAAGCGTTGACGCCCCGTGTGAATGGGGCCTAAGGACTGGTAAGAGTTGTTATGGAATTTAATAACGCACACCAAATAGAAAGAAAAAAAAACTTCCGCATTTCACGGTGTGTGTGTGTGTGTCTGTGTGTGTGTGTGTGGTCCTTTACTGACATCCATGTGTGTGGATCTTGTCGGAAAATACGAAAAGTCCTACATGACAGTAATAGTTTAATTGCGGTGTTTACTTCAATAATGCCACTAATATCTGCATACTTCACATCTTGATTCAATTTCTGTTTAGTTCAGTTATGACTTTAGTCGGATGAAGGTAATCAAAAATTGCTGTTTCGAGCTTATGTAGGCCTACAGTTCAAAATTCATGTTTAACAGAATAAACACAAGTACATCTTATTAAACATCATTTATTTTCATCACCAATTATCATAGTAACAGTTTCTCAAGCAGTTTGTGATGCATTTTGGAAACAGGAGATGAGCCCCTGGTCTAATGCGCCACCTGGCTTGAGAAACCCGTTCTCAAAGACTTACTCCAAGTAATTATTTGGTTAGTACACATATTCTGATTGCCTTAGGCAGAATTAAAATAAGCCATTTTAATCTAGATTAATTCCAAGATTACAGTAAGATTATTCTAGATATTTGTTTTTTTAATCTATGCCCACCTATAATATAAACACAATACTACACTCGTAGCAGTGCAATATGGCTGTATATCGGTACTGGTGGGACACTAAGGCACTCGACCTGTGGCCTCGAGCCAATGCATGCCTCCCACCAGTACCAATATACAGCCATATTGCACTGCTACGAGTGAGATATTGCTTATATATATGCAGTATATAATTTGTGTGTGTGTGTGTGTGTGTGTAAGGAAGATAATCTTGTCTTGACTAGAAGTTAGTGAGCAAAATGCCAGAACAGTTTATTCATTCATTCATTTTCTTGTCGTCTTAGTCCCTTTATTAATCCGCGGTCGCCACAGCGGAATGAACCGCCAACTTAACCAGCAAGTTTTTACGCAGCGGATTCCCTTCCAGCCGCAACCCATCTCTGGGAAAATGCCAGAACAGTTGTAAGATTTAATTTTGCTATATAAATTTGAACTTTACAGTCTTTGACATGAGCTCAGCCCATTTTGAGATTTAATGTTGACAGCTGTTGCAAAGTTGAGAGCCTAATATGGCAGATAACCGATGAGCTTTCACTTAATCATTTTCCGAACACAAAACAAATGATTTAAAACCGAACTGTACCAATTCAGCAGAAAGAGGAGGATTAATCCTGACAGAACGCTTTTGGAAATAGCATTTGCATTTTACACTGTTGAAGTCATCCAGACAAGCCGGTTGCCATGACAACCGTGCAGGGATTCTGCCGCT